AACAGTATGGAAATAAAAGACCTCTGATGGATAGACAGACCTCTGATGGATAGACAGACCTCTGATAGATAGACAGACCTCTGATAGATAGACAGACATCTGATAGAGACACGTCTGATAGAGACACGTCTGATAGAGACACGTCTGATAGATAGACCTCTGATAGATACACGTCTGATAGATAGACGTCTGATACACGTCTGATAGATACACGTCTGATAGATAGACGTCTGATAGATAGACGTCTGATAGATACACGTCTGATAGATACACGTCTGATAGATAGACCTCTGATAGAGACACGTCTGATAGATAGACGTCTGATAGATACACGTCTGATAGATAGACGTCTGATAGACCTCTGATAGATACACGTCTGATAGATACACGTCTGATAGACCTCTGATAGATACACGTCTGATACACGTCTGATAGATACATGTCTGATAGACGTCTGATACACGTCTGATATATTGCAGATGAGCAAACGGTCTAACAAATAGGTCTCGCAGATGTAGTGCAGACGTCTCCGTGATGTACGTGTGCTGTCTCTGCGACTGAAGAAAGAAAGCATGACATGGGGCGAGTAAATGATCAGGAAATGTTAACTTATCTTTTAAATAGTGCCGTCAAACGATTAATCGCATCCAAAATAAAAGTTCTTGTTTGCATAATATATGTGTGTTAACCCTAGCTCTGTATAAATATACACACACACAGTATATATTTTGAATGTCTGCATTTATCTTCGTATAATTTATATTATAAATAAATAAATTTGATATGTAAACATAACCTATTTTTCTGAAATGTATACATGCATGTGTGTGTATTTATATATACGTAATAAATACACACCGTACTAGGATTGCAAAGGAGTGGAAAATATCTGGTACATTTCCGGAAACTTTCCAAAAATCCCTGGAACATTCAAAACAATCCTGGAACGTTTCCTCCTTTTTGCAACCCTACACCGTACACGCACATGTAAGCAAAAACTTTTATTTTGGATGCGATTAATCGCGGTTAATCGTTTAACGGGACTACTTTTAAGTAGTGTTAAAGTAGCCCAATTCTGCGGGAAAACACTGATGTGATCTGAACACGGAGTCGCGTGTCTTCACTCTCAGATCCGCAGACGGCGGCGTCATGTCCGGCTGCGCAGACGGCGAGGACAGCTGTGCGGTTGCCATGGAGACGGAGGAGGTGCAGCCGGGTGAGCGCAGCATGGGCGAGCTCCCCGAGGAGGTGCTGGAGTTCATCCTGTCCTTCCTGTCGCCCTACCAGGAGCACAAGACGGCCGCGCTGGTCTGCAAGCAGTGGTACCGCCTCATCAAAGGTCAGCTGGTTCTAATAATCGCTGTAACGATCATGCTAACTGTAAAGCCCCGTTCACACTACGGTTGGGAATCGAAAATCGATTCAGATTCCAGAATCGGATACTTGTTGTCAAATTAAAATTTAGATTCCGCCTATCGATTCCTATGCGGTTTTTCCTCCTCCTCCATCTGTGAGGAGCTAGCGGTCTGCCAGGACCAAAGTTTGGCTACGTTTGCGATCAGAAGCCAAAAAAGCTCAATATAATATCTGTGATAGCTAAACATGCTGCGGGAGAGCTTTAGTTTAATAGATTGTTAAAGATCGCGAACACGATTCAAACACCAACGTGATTCTGTTCCTAGATTACAATGATTCGTCTGATTCATTCCTCAAGCTTTGACGCGTCGATCAATGTTGTGATCGCGTGGTTCATCCGTGCAGCGTACGATCTCATCAGTGTGATTTAAACATTTAAATCTGCGTTCACGGAGAACTGGGATAAGTTTATAGTTCAGATATAAACTCACGATTAAAATAGATTAAATCACCTTTTGAAAGTAATGTGACGCTTCAAATGAAGATTTATGGATTACAGTGTTACGCCAGTAGGTGGCGAAAAGGGGCTGTTAAAATGTATTTGTCTTTGAATCATTCAGAGATTCGTTCAAGAACGCTGATTCATCCAGTAATGATTCAAGTACATCTTGAGTGAGTCATTGAATCATTCATAAATTACATGCCTGTTGTAGCCTGTTGATTTCTGTTCATGGTATTCAGCTCCAATAAATGGTTTGCAAAAAAGAGACGCAGGATAAATGTTTGATATCAATATTTAATCACATTGGAATCGAAACTGAGGATCGGAATTGATCAAATTCAAACGATACCCAACCCTAGTTCACACCAAGAGCGATAACTATAAAGATAACGATATTAGCGTCCACATCAGAGGACGACATCGTCTGTTACTCTAAGCGCGCGCGCGTCTGCCGCTTTAAATTCTCCAGCTCGTTACAGCAGGATGGATTCTGATTGGCTGTCAGTGTTTGTATCGTTCATCAGCTGGAAAAAACCGTTCTGAAAGTGATTCCAACGATATCGTTTCTCTTTGTCTTTATCGTTATAGCTGTGGTGTGGTCTCTGCTATTCTTTAATACTGAGAACGGTTTTTAGATCTATGTCTTTATAGTTTTCGTGCTCGGTGTGAACGGGGCTACACACTCAGATATTCTGTAAACAGAAACGTTTATTTTGGATGTGATTAATGGCGATTAATCGTTCGACAGCACTACTCAGAATCCAGCGACTTTAAAGCGGCGACAAAACTGCAGAAAAAAATGATTGTTATAGTGATAATTTCTGTTATTGATAACGTTAGCATTGTCAAAATAGTTTACTTATTGTTATCCACACCGTTATAGTTCTACGTATCAGCATAAATATAGTTATCGTTATAGTTCCTCTTCATCATAGTAATCATTGTTAAAGTTACCAGTATAGCTAACGTTATTGTTACAGTTGATATCATTGTAACTGTGGTTACCATTATCGTTATAGTTATTGTTACCTTTATAGTTATCGCTATAGTTATCGCTATAGTTGTTGTTGCCGTTATAGTTGTCATTATCATTAAAATTATTGTTATAGTTATTATAGTTGGCATTAAAGTTATTGCAGTAGTTATTGGTATAGTTATGATTACCGTTATAGTTATCATCATAACCACTAAAGCTATTGTTATAGTATTAGTTACTCTTATAGATATTATTATTGTTGTAGTTACATAGTTATCATTATAGATATCATAGGTAGCATTATTGTTGCTGTTGTTATATAGTTATAGTTATTATAGTTACTATTGTAGTTATTGTACTTATTATAGTTGTTGTTATTGCTATCGATGCAGTTATTATAATTACCATATTGTTATAGTGATAATTTCTGTTATTGATAACGTTAGCATTGTCAAAATAGTTTACTTATTGTTATCCACACCGTTATAGTTCTACGTATCAGCATAAATATAGTTATCGCTATAGTTGTTGTTGCCGTTATAGTTGTCATTATCATTAAAATTATTGTTATAGTTATTATAGTTGGCATTAAAGTTATTGCAGTAGTTATTGGTATAGTTATGATTACCGTTATAGTTATCATCATAACCACTAAAGCTATTGTTATAGTATTAGTTACTCTTATAGATATTATTATTGTTGTAGTTACATAGTTATCATTATAGATATCATAGGTAGCATTATTGTTGCTGTTGTTATATAGTTATAGTTATTATAGTTACTATTGTAGTTATTGTACTTATTATAGTTGTTGTTATTGCTATCGATGCAGTTATTATAATTACCATTAAAGTTATCATTGTCATTATTGTTATTATATTCACCATTATAGTTATCATTGTAGCGGTCATTATAGTTATTGTTTCAGTTATTATAGTTACAGTTAAGGATTCAGTGAGCTGAATGGTTGTGGTTTAGTGTGTGGTGCAGTGATGTAGCGTGTTCTGATGTCCTTCTGATGCGCTGTGATTGTGATCTGTGTGTGTGTGTGTGTGTGTGTGTGAGAGTGTCTGTCTCTCTCTCTCTCTCTCTCTCTCTCTCTCTCTCGCTCTCTCGCTCTCTCGCTCTCACTCTCGCTCTCTCTCTCTCAGGTGTGGCGCATCAGTGTTATCATGGTTTCCTGAGGGCTGTTCAGGAGGGAAACATTCAGTGGGAGAGTCGCACATATCCATATCCTGGAACACCGATAACACAACGCTTCTCACACAGTCAGTGAACAGATCACTCACTCTCTCACACACACACACACACTCGCACTCACTCTCACACACACACTCACTCACACACTCGCGCGCACACACACACACACACACACACACTCGCACTCGCACTCACTCAC